TTCTGGCCCTTCATATTAGTAAGGGAGAAATATTTTACAGTCAAATTTTGAATTTTAATCTCATTCAGTATGTTAATGGACAAGTAATTCAGGAGGCCCAAAGTGGTAATGTAGGAATTCCAAACTCATCATGGCCATTTCGGAACTTAGATTCAGTTTAAAGAAAAAAATAAACTGATAACAGTAAAAGCAACCAAGCTAAATTCATAGACATGCAAACTCAGCATCTATTCCCATGCTAAGCCAAACTTTTGAAATCGATATTCAATTGTTTGAAATAGTTTTCCACTTCACCGTTTATAAAACCACAATCTCCGACTGTTGCTGAGACCCTAATCAATATAACAGTGCAGCCAGCTTCTCTACTTTCACTATTCCATCTACTTGAGAACTTCAAAACTCCCATCCTTCCTATATAACTTTGGTACGGAAGACTCACCGGTTCTCTGTGCTCAGTGAATTGACTTCAAGACCCATATACTCACTTTCAAATTCTCTAAGAACCCAGAGTACTGAAGAAGTCATACCAGACTCAGAACCTTAACTCTGTTTCTCTCTCCATGGATACTGCCAAGCTACTGAGTTTCTCTAGCATTCTTTGTGTTTAATCTTACCTACCAAGTTAGGAAGAGACCCTCCAATTACCCAGAATGGGGGAGGCACAGATGTGGGACATGCTGATGGCATCTGAATGCCACCCTCTGCTCTTGCCTCCGACCACTTCTCCCTGTGATCCCAACCCCACGAGGAGCAAAAGAAAAGACCTACATTCACCCCATTAGATGTCCCAAGGAATACAATTTGACCTTCGTTTTTGAAGGTCGGAAGCTGCTAGCCTGTAATTGATCGGTAGTTTCTGGGAAACTGTGTTGCTATAGTCAAAGCGTGTGCTAAATCAAAATACTCACCTAAGTTTGTCTTGCAGCTCTTAACAAATTGATTGGTGTGTGATCAATCAAGCTTTTTTGTAGTAGGTGGTGGCAGGTTAATCGACACCTAACATATCCACCGCATCATTAATCCGAAAATGGGAAAATCACAGCCATATTTTTCATCCCCCTATTGTCCTATTTACTGCTTCCTGCACTGCCATCACCCCACTGTCAGCTCTTTTTGCTGTCTCCTCCATACCTTTAGAAATCTCCTGCAATGCATTCCTTTAGGCCATGCCTTCCATTTCTCTCCTCAACCTTTTAGCTCTTTCTTTTCTGCTCTGCATCCAGATTTTTTCCTTGTTTAGTACTCAAGGGCAATTTCTTTAACACAAGAGGTATATATATAAAGGCCAATTGTTGTTGTGGAGGAAAAAGAACAGGAATTTCATCAACTCAGCGCAAGGTAAGTTTTAAAATTAATTTATACAGTTCAGGGTATTCAATTTTTGACAGTTTATGGCAAGTAAACTACTTTGTAGTTTGATTATTGACTGATAAGATATATTCCAATAATCAAAAATGTACCTAAGAGAATCTTAAAAAAAACATTTCAGCAAGAAAAGACTGACAGTCCATGCCAGGCTTTCTCTGCCAATGCCAGGAAGTGAGAGCTTACACCCAGCTATTGTTTAATAGCAAAGCCTTGGCCAAAAGTTGAGTTGTTATACCACTGAGTTTTGCCGAGACTCCAGTCAAGCACACTAAGCTGTGCAGCAATACCATGATTCAGAGTTACTGACACGCTATTTTAAAGAAGACACAAAATTCGAACATTCGATGAGAAAACACCTATTCATTCTTGATCCATTCATGATTTTGAAAAATGCCGGACACAATGTTATTTGAAGTTACCAGTTTCCTTTTATTTTCAAAGCCTATAACAACATATATCTGCTATCCATCCATGTTTTTTGTTTGGTCAGTGATTTGACTTACACGGTGGAATCTAGAACATGCACCTCATGTATTGACCCTGCACATCCACTGCTCTGCAACCTTTCTTACCAGGGATAGAGGGGGCTGGAGAAACAACAGCCTGGGAGGGAGACGCTATGGGAGTGTATGCTAATGGCATGGGAGGGAGGAGAACAAAAGGGTTGAGATTGTGAAGACGTGGAGGATGGGATGGGTGGGGGTGTATGCAGGGGAGGGGCAGAAAACATGGAAGGGATGGGGTGGGACAGTACGTGCAGGTGAGGAAGGGGGACAGAATGGGAGGAAAGGGCAGCATAATGAGAAGCTGGGCAGTTTGGGAGGTATGGAATGGGGAATGGGTGGCAGTAGAGAGAATGAAAGGAATGATGTGGGTGTGGCTAGAGGAAGAAGCTATGGGGCAGATAGATGGCATGGGAGTTAAAAGATATACAATTCAATAAAGATACTATTTTCACCACAAATATTTTTTAGATCTCTGCAAATTAAAATTAAAAATCTGGAATTAAAAGCAGATTTAATTGAATAACACGAATGTCTACATAGACAATTATCATTTCCAATATTTAGTTCTTTTTTTACAGATATTAATTCTCATTTTAACAAATTGTTAATTTAAAGATCTCTAAAACAAACTTACAGGTTAATTCTTTCCTCCTGCACAATTCATTTTAATTATTCATATCTGAGAATATCATTTCTCCCCTCAAGCTGATCCCACATTCCTCATCTCCCCTTCCTTCACAACATCTAGTATGAAATTAGAATAACTTGAGGGCTCCACAAACATTAGTGTTGATGTCTGCAGTATCTGCATCAATAACATGTTGTAAACCTCAGTATGGATATGATTATTATTGTTACATTGCCTTATATCATGTTGTTAATGTAAAATGTTCCAAAATGCTTCATAATCAAACACAATTTGACAGTGAGCCACTTCAGAGATATTAAGGCAGGTGGCTGAAGCCTTGGTCAAAGAGGTCAGTTTTGTGGCATTTCTCAAAGGACAAAAGCAAGGTAGAGATGGAGGCAGAGAGGTTTAGGGAAGGATTTCTAGAGCTTTGGACCAAAGACACAATCAGCAATGAACATAAAGAATGCTCAGATTTGAAGGAGTACAGATAAGCTGGGGTCTATAGAATAGGAGGTGATTACATTGTTGGAGCAAGGCAAAACTGTGGAGAGATTTGAAATCATGGGTGAGAATTTTAAAAGCTATGTGTTTTTCCACTAAGGATGTCAGTGAGGGCATAGTTAACGGGCGAACAGAACTTGCTGTGGAATCAAATTAATGGAGGGTGCAATAAGGGAGGTTGACCAGGAATGCAATTTTGAAATAATTACCCCTGGATCTAACCAAGATGAGGGGCTCAACAGATGAGCTGAGGCCGGCCTCACACAAATTTTACTCAAAGCAAGTACGATTGAGAAATCAACAATTATATGGAATATGGCCATCAGTGCATTGAGTACAGGAGTTGGGAGGCTATGTTGCAGCTGTACAGGATATTGGTTAGGCCACTTGTGGAATACTGCATTCAGTTCTGGTCTCCCTACTATAGGAAAAATGTTGTGAAACTTGAAAGGGTACAGAAAAGATTTACAAGAATGTTGCCAGGGTTGGAGGGTTTGAGCCACAGGGAGAAGTTCAATAAGCTGGGACTAAATTTTCCCAGCGCACGAAGTTGAGGAGTGACCTTATAGAGGTTAATAAAATCATAAGGAGCATGGATAGGGTGAATAGTCAAGGTCTTTTCCCCAGGGTAGGGGAGTTCAAAACTAGATAGCATAGGTTTAATGTGAGAGGGTAAAGATTTATAAGAGACCTAAGGGGCAGCCTTTTCATGCAGAGTGTGGTGCGCATATGGAATGATCTGCCAGAGGAAATGGTGGAGGCTGGTACAATTACAACGTTTAAATGTCATCTGGATGGGTATATGAATAGGAAGGATTTAGAGTCAAATGCTGGCAAAGGGACTTGATTAATTTAGAATATCTGGTCGGCATGGACAAGTTGGACAGAGAAGTCTGTTTCTATGTTGTACATTTCTATGACTCTACGCAATTTGAATTCAATAAAAATCTGGAATTAAGTCTAATTATGATACGATACCATTGCGATTGTCAGGAAAAAAAAACCCATCTGGTTCACTAATGTCCTTTACGGAAGGAAACTGCTATCCGTACCTGGTTTGGCCTATATGTGACTCCAGACCCACAGCAATGCAGTTGATTCTTAACTGCTCTCTCGACAATTAGGGATGGGCAATAAATGCCGGTCCAGCCAGCGACACCCACATCCCGTGAATGAATATACCAAAACAGAATGCTTCCCTGTCAGAAATTCCGAATCTATTACAGAGCAACCTTGAAACCATACGTCCCGCTGGTCCACATTGTACCCTCGACACACATTTACAGTTTATTTATTTAGGTTAAAGCGTCACTAGATCTCTGCCTTCCATGAAGTTTTCTTTCTGAATTTAGTGAAGCGTGGAAACAAACTTTGGAGAGTCATCTCAGCAAAATATTAATAATTAACACAAAACCGGATCCCTTTAAAGCACAGGGAAAGAGGACCTTGTATTTTAGGGGAGCACATGCTCCGAAACTGAAAATGTTAATTTGAACGGTGTACTTAAGTTCCACATATTTCCTTGTTCGACTGAACGAGCCTGGGTTTCCCAGTCAAAACGTACCTAAATTCGGGATGAACACAGAACATTCCTCCCGGCCCGGGTAGAATCAGCCAGTCATAGAATTACATTGGGAATGATGCCTGGAAGAAGGGAAAACCGGGTCTTTTCAAGCCTTCATGTTAAAATGTGGCTGGCAATGATCGCCAGCCAATTCTAGGCTGAAGGCAATTCCTAGTCTCAGCCAGTCATATGATCCAGGCTGGAAAGCAGATCGAACAGCAATGACTGAAAGACACAGTGAAAAGAGAAGCCCGGCCCACATCAGCAACCATCCAGCAAACCGTGTTTTCAGCAATATGTCATGATGTCACTCTAAGTCAGTCCTAACGGGTTTGGTAATGCCTTGTTTTAAAGCTAACTGGCAGCAAGCAGGCATACAGGTTCAACTACATTTCACTGAATGTCATTGAGACTGAAAGAAGCAAACTACCTGGAAACGTCATGCTTGGAGTTTACAGTTTGCATGTGATGGATTACAGAGGCTGGGACACAAACCAGAAGATTTCAATCAGTCCGGCTCCCGCTCTTCCTGCTCGTGTCTACGAGGCCGGCCTGCAGGAAACTTCCAACAAGAATCCCAACTTTTACGTTCTCTTTCGACTCGAACCGACCGCCGTGTTTTAAGCAACTTCCCTTCTTCCGAACCTGGGACATAGCCTGCGCCTCGGTATTGGTTTAACGCCTTGTCCGTTTCCCGGAGCGCAGCTGCCAGCTCCACCCACTGCCACTGCCACTTCTCAGAAAAACGTGGAATGAAACTTCATTTAAGTTCGTGTAGTCTAAAAACTGAACACTTGTACACCCACAAAGGTTGCAAAGGCGTCAATAAAACCTACTGAACTCCTTACTGCACTTCCCCGTTTGCAAACTTATAACGGTGCAGCATTCAGGGCTTCTTTTGTGCACGCGAAATATTTTGGTGTTTGGTTTTAAATCATTACATTAATCCACACCGATAAGCAGCACGAACTTTCCCAGATATTTCATATTGTTCACAACTACAAAACAAAAATTGTGGAAAAACAGGTAAACAAAGAACAGCCGCAACATTATTCTCTTTCTGAAGCAGATCTGTTCTGTGTGGTCCATTCAGCAGTTTGCTACATCCTGAATTGTCTAATTTCTGTTAAATTTTGTAAATAAAGATTCATATCCCTGTGTCCATGAACTTGACCCAATGTTTTGGACTTGTTTCTTCGGATTTTTATTAACTTTGATTCTTATACGCCTTTAATGTAGACACGGTCCTGGTGGAGGAGGGACCTAAGAAGATCTAGAAGTGAGGGATCAGAAGTAGCAAAGAGGTCTTTAAGCAGAGAGTTCCAGAGAACAACGAGTACTGAGCCAGAATGTAAAGATGTGCTGAGGTCATGAATGGATTTGTACAGAAGAATGACAATTTGAATGGATTGAATTAGGGACTAAGGAGGAAACAGAAGTTGGCAAAGACAGGGCTGATGGCTTAAGTGGAGCCTATTCTGGAGGTATGGACACACTGGAAAGCATGTTAAAAGTCCACAAAAAGAGCTTTAGAAAAAGGAGAATCTGGAAGCAATAACACCATAATTTAGTGTTTTACTGGCTCAGGATGTAGAGTTTGATATTCTGGAGGTACATTCCCAGAAACTGAATCGGGGAATGATTTTCTACCTCAACCTCAGAACAAAAGCGATTAAGTGCTTCAGCCAATGATCAGCCAAAGGGAGACTGTGTCAGCAATAGAGTAAAACTATTGCAAGGAGCTAAGTAAGATGTTTTCAGTTTCATGATGTTCAATTGCAAGTGTTTCTGGCTAACTTGTGACTTGATTCTTGACTTTGAGAGTATGACAATTGGAATCGCTCAAAGATGGTGGTTAGTTAGGAGTGGGTGTTATCAGTATATATAGGAACAGACCCAAGTCTATAGGTAATGTCACTGGATGACATGTATGTCAATGAAAAGAAGCAGGCAGATGGAGGAGCTTGGGTATTCCAGAACTGATTGTGCCTATGCCGCATTATTACAGTGGTGCCATCTTTTTAGTGGGAAATGGAAAAGGGGAAAAAGCCTTTAATTTAGTTGAACATTTTTCTCCAAATAAAGCCTGAGTATCAAGGGAAAAGGAGAACCAATCTCAACTAAAATATTGCTACATTGGAAGATCAGAGCTGACACACATTCATATAGCAAACTAATGGGGAAAGCAAAATACAACCAACCTGTGAAACTGAGAGTGTATGCTGTGATGCATCAGATCGAGCATTAGGTCTCGAAAAATCAACATGAAAGTAGCTTGCATTCTAGGTTAGAAATATTGTGATCAAGCTCCATAATGTTGGAGTTTGATATGAAGACTAGGATCATTAGAAGCAGATGATGTAGCCTAGCTTAAAATATTAATTTCCATGAAAGCAATAATGGTAGCTGAACACAATAACCCATGTTCTCATGTATTTCTTAAGTTGGCAGACCATACCTCTAATACCAAAACATGAAAAACCAATCTATGCTCACATCCAGGTTTGGGCTGATATGTGCCAAGAATATTCCTGACACACAAGAGCCAGGCAATGATCATCTCCAATAAGAGAGAATATGACCATCACCCCTTGACACTCAATTGCATTACCATTGATGAATCCCTCTCTATTACCCTCCTAGGGTTTACTGTTAACCACAGAAACTGATTTGGACCAGCCATATACATATTGCGATTTCAAGAGCAGGTCAGAGGCTAAGAATCCCTAAGTGAGTAACTCACCTTCTGACTCCCCAATGCCTGTCCACCATTGCAAGGCACAAGTCAGGATATACTTCCCACTTGCCTGGATGAGTGCATTGGCATTTGTGTTGCATGAAAATCTCTCCCTAACAGGTTTTGTGGGTACTTACACCAAATCGTCTGCAGTGATTCAGGAAGACATCTCACTGCCACTTTCTCAAGAGCAAGAACGGATGGGCAATAAATGCTGGCCCAGCCAGTTACACCCACATCCCATGAATGGATAAAAAAGAATTCTCACCTTTAACATTCTAGGGATATCCATTTACCGGAAACGTAATTAGACCAACCACATAAAATGCTGTGCGTGTAAGAGCAGCTCATCAGCAAATGTCTCACCTTCTAATTTTCAAAAGCCTTTCTACCAATCACAATGTGTTAGTTAAGAGTGTGATGGATTAATCTCCAGTTGTCAAGATGAGTGCAATTCTACAACACTGTAGAAAATCAACAGCATCCGGGTAAATCAATTCTTATTTGGCATCCCATTCACCACCTTAAACATTCAATCCTTTCACCACTCGTAAGCTGCAGCTGCAGCGTGTATAATTTACATGACACCAAGATGTCACCTGTTAAACTCACAGCCTATACCATCTAGAAAGGTGTTCCATATAATTTCAATATTCACTGAATGACAATCAAGTCCCATATTCATCACATGATGTAATATATGTGTAATATTATAAACAATTACACAATCTTTTGATAATAAGTTTGAAGATTTTTTTAATAAATCAATAATCAAGACTGACACACTCACTGCATTGGATTGCAAAGCTTCTAAAAGGCTTTGCAATCCGATTTTCTGCAAAACAGACTTGCTGTACACTTTCAAAGGAGGTGACAAATCTGTTAACTGATGTAGTAGAGATAGTAGGAACTGCAGATGCTGGAGAATCCGAGACAACAAGGTGCAGGGCTGGATGAACACAGCAGGCCAAGCAGCATCATAGGAGCAGAGAGGCTGACGTTTCGGGCCTAGACCCTTCATCAGAAAAGGGGGAGGGGAAGGGGGTT